ACTCTATTAATTTAAATGAGTTCAGTGTCTCGCTGAAAGAGTGGTTATATTTTATTAGAACTAAAAGTAGTTGTAATGATGAATTTAGATATTAGTATATCAATTATTTATATAATGAATTACATTATCATTATTGATATAATTCTATTTAATTTAAAATAAATGTAATTGAAATATTATAAGTAGATATCATAATGTTAAGAAATCATGAATAGATGTTAGAAATATAAATAATAATAATGAAGATGATATTATTAATTAAATAGAATTCTTTATTATGATAATAAATATAAAATAATAAATACAATGATAATATAAATGAAATATATATCATTTATTATTTAATCAAATAGAAAATGATGATATAATAATTAAACAATGGAGATAGTATTAATAAATGAAAATAAAGAATAAAGAAAAAGAATATAAAAGAAAATAATATAATAAATAAGTGAAAATAAATAAAATAAAATAATAATATAAATAAAAATAAATTATTATTTTATTTTTATTAAATATTATATTAATACTATTATATTTAACTATTTCATTATTAATTTCATTATAATTTATTATTAATATTTAAACTATTTCATTATAATATTTAATTTTATTATTTATTTATTTTCTATAGCTTTCATTCATATCACATTACTATCTCATTAATTATATAATAATCTTATGTCTTCTCATTTCTAGGTGCAACTCTGTTTTTGATTATCTCTAATAAAAAATATTTTCTATTGAATTATATTTAAAATGAGATCAAAATAGAAATAATAAAAAATAATTCTTTATTTTTGTAAGAATCAAATAATAGATTATTGTATTTAAAAAGAACTTAAAAAGATTTGACGGTTAAATTTAAATAGAACTTAAAAAAAAAGAAAAACAAAAGATAAATGTCAGATTTAGATAAATTAAGAGAAATTGGAAGTAAAAAATTCCAAGAACAAGCTATATGGATGCTTAATGCTATGTGGCCAAAAGATCAAGGAAAAAGTGCAGAAGAATTATGGAACTATGTTGAATTATTTGGAAGTTTAGAATTAGAGAATGGGAAAGAAGGAAATGATCTTGATGAATTAGGAATGCACAGAGTATTTGAAAAGATTCAAAAACAACAAACAATGCAAGAAATGAGAAACCATTTAAGAAAAGTTGGTGTTACTTCATTCAAGAAAATTTCAATGATTAATTTCTTAATTTTTATTTATGGATATGATCTCCATGAAGTTGTTAACGCTCCACAAGGTGCTAATGGTGCCGAAGTGGAAAAAGCTAAAAAGATTCTTGAAGAAGTTACTGAAGCATTTAACTCTGCCCAAGAAAAAGCTGCTACTGCTAAAAAAGCTGCTGATGAGTCAAAGGTTAAAGCTTCTCAAGCTAAAAAAGTTGCTGATGAATGTGAAATTAAACAAACTGAAGCTACTAAGGCAGCTGAAATTGCTAAGGCGGATGAGGAAGCTGCAATAGCAAGACAAAAAGAGGCTCAAGCTGCAGAAGAAGAAGTTACTAAAGCCTTAAATGAAGTTAAAGCACAAGAACAAGCAAAAGAAGATAAAAGAAAAGCACTTCAAAAAAAGATAGAAACTGCTGGATTAGTTGCTAAGAACGCTGCTATCCAAGAATTAGCTAAACTTGATAATGAAGATGATTTACCTTTAAGAAGAGCTAAAACTACTCTTGAAGCTGCACAAAGAAAAGCCGCTAAAGCTCTTAAAATTGCTACTGATGCTAAAGAAAAAGCTACTGCAACTGCCAAAGCTGCTGAGGAAGCTAAACAAGCTGCTGATGACGCTAAACAAGCTGCTGATGAAGCAAAAACTCAAGCTGAACAAGCTGAGGCTGAGTCTGTTGCAGCAGCAGAAGCAGCAGACCAAGCCCTTGTTGATGCTGAACAAAAGGTTGCAGAAGCTGAGGCATATCTTGCTGAACAACAAAAGAAAGCTACTGGTGCGGGACAAGGAACAATGTGGTTTATGCAAAGAGAACTTGATGAGAAAAAGAAGTATATGCCAACAAGAAAAGGTGGAGTTGCAAAGAAATAAAATACTTTTTAAAAGTAAAATAATTGACCATTCTTCATTAAAAAATATAAATTTTTAAAAGAAAAATAAAAAAAGAACAAAAATAATAAAAAAATAAAATTAGTTGGTAATATCTAATTGATTGATATAATAACATGTATTTTTAAAGTATTGCATTAATGAATTGTTAGAGATATCACCAATATTAGATTGAATTAAATCTCTTAATTGAATAATATATTTGTTAAAATCAGTATACCCATTAACGTAAGAAGTAATATATCTATTTAATATTGTAATAAATAATTTAATATTTTCATTAGATAAATTAGCATCTTTTAATGCTTTTTGAAGACATTGTAAACAGTGTTGTTTTGAATTATAATTTGAACCATCTCTTTTTGACCATAAGGCACTACATAAAGCAATAATATTAACTCTTGAATTAATGTCTTCAATCATTTGGGAGTATTTAGTTACAGCGGTTATTAAAATGGTATATTTTTCTTCATCATTAATTTTCATAGAACAACCACAGGCTATAATATACTTTAGTGCCTCTTTTTTTTCTTCTGGATTTGAAATATTATTTTCAAATATTGAAGCAGCAAATTCAAAAAAACTTGTAGTGTCAATACCATTATTTAATCCACAAAGAGTACATTGAATAGCTAATCTAATACTTAATAACATTTCATTTTGTTTTACTAATAACTTAAGAATATCCAATGCACCAACAAAAATTTTTCTGTCGCAAGGTTTAATGGTAATAAATTTAAATAATAATCCTGGGAGTGAAATTTTTTTCCTTTTATTACAACCAATAGATATAATTCCTTTAATTTCTCTTAAGATTGATACCATCTCTTCAGAATCATTTAAATTGATTAATTGATACAATGATGTTGATAAGATTGAATCTTTTTCTATGTCTTCATCAGATGAATTTTCTAAATCTTTATGAATGGTAGAAGTAA